TTCGGACCAGCCCCCAGTTGGTACCATCTGTGTAGTGGCAGGGCAGGTGTGGGGGCTTTAAAAACAACCCCCAGACCCCTCTGTTTGTTACAGAGCAGCTTTGAGGCAGCTGTGCAGGGACAGGGAGCCTTGGTGAGCACAGGGTAGCCCAGAAGAAGCAGAGCAGCCCCTCACTGGGGTGGCAGGGTCAGGGTTAGGGTTGGGGTGCCCTGCTGACCACTTGCTGTGGCTCTGAGGTGCATCCATCCCCCTCAGGTGCGCTATGGGCTCAGGAATGCTCATTAGGCCCCCACCTTAATTAATGGTGTTTGGGCAGGTGGCTTCCCTTGAGCTTTTGAAACCCTCTCTGGTCCTAGAACTCCTGGTCTCTCACAAGCTCCTGTTTTCTCACAAACAGCCTCCAGTCTTCATTTTTCTGCCTGAACAACAGCCCAAGTGGAATCATATTTTTGTTACTGGATTTTTTGAGGAAGACTCCTGTAGCTACCAACTGGAATTGTGGCCGGGATGGAAATTCACCTGTGACTGAAGTCAGTCATCTCCTGACCCTGCAACCAGTGGCCCTGAGTGAGACCCTTCTGAGCTCTCCTGGGCTGCATGTGCCAGCATCTCCCTCGGAGTGGGAGGAATCTCAGAGCTCATGGACTCTCCTGTTTGTGATCCCCAGAGGACCAACAACGACTTATACCCCCCCAGCTGCTTGAGGCTCAACCCTTCACCACCGAGAAGATGCTTCAATGTGAGTATTTCACTGAACTCAAATTCCTCACAGGTCTGTTCCTTCCTTGTGTCCGTGTGCGTGTGCATTATGAGTGTTGCCTCTTTGGATTTATAATTTATTTACAGTTATAGAAAATCACATTTGAATCATTTTGTCAGAGTTAAATTAGTCAATTGATCAAGTGCTGCTGTTGCTGTGTTAATGAGATATTGTCATGATTAAGTGTTGGTAAATCCTTTAGACTTAAACCACTGATCCAGTCTGAGGCTAAATTTAGCCAGGGAATCCTCTCTGCACCTGGTGACTCAGCTCAGGGGGTCTCCCTTAGCCCTTTGCACCCCTGACTTTTCCCTCCTTTCCTTTTTGTGTCCCCATTTCTGCCTAAATCATTGGAGATTGCTTTTAATCCAGTTTTCTTTGGTGTGGTTTATCTACACCAAGATTTGACAGAGTTGTATCAAACCTGCTTTTGCTGGTGATTCTTCAAGCCTCCCAAACCCCTCATTCACGACAGGCTGAGGGAAACAGGGACTGTTCCAGCGGCTCCCTTCCTTGGAAGCCACAATTAAAACTATTTTAAAAGAAGGCAAACATTTCTCATCAAAATTCCTGCCTGTTCCTGGCTCTCATTGTTGGCTAAGACTGCTCAGCACCAGCAGCCTCCCAAAACACCTCCAGGCAAACCCACCTTGCTGGGTCCTCGGAGTCCTGGCTGCAGTTGGGAAAATTGGCATTTTCTGTGGGAAATTTGCACTTTTTGTGGAAATTCAGGAAGGCTGGAACAGCACTGGCCTGCTGCCCCGGCGTTTCTGGGATGCAGAGAGCTCATGGCTTTGGTGTTTGTGGAGCAAAGAGGGTGCCTGAGCTGTACCCATCCTGAGGATGCTCCAGCACCATTTTGGGTGGATCTCAGCCCCAGAGGGCACCGTGTCCCTGTGCCACCGGCAGCTGAGGAGTGGCTTCCAGAGGGGAAGGGAGCCGCTGTGGTTTGAATTTTTGGGATTTGGTTGTGTGGGGTCTGGACCATCCCACGCCAAGAGAGCACCAACACCGTGGCACAGGGCCGGGAATGGTGGAGTGGCCGATGTCACCCTTATTCCCTGCAACTGTGGTACCAGGGCTGCCCCTTCCCATCCCAGCTGGCACGAGCTGCTGCTGCTGCCTAAATGTCCACACACAGGAGCAAAGCACCACGGTGACCTGGGAACACAAACCTGACCAGGAGATGAACCGTGTCCCTGCCCCAGCCGCTCCTCGTCCCCGCACATGCTGCCGGTGCCAGTCAGTGCTGGAAGTAGGGACGTTTCTCCCCGCGTTTCCCCTTGCCCGGCTCTCAGCAGCCGCCTCCGGCTCGGCGTGGCTCTCACAGGGCTGGATCAGCTCCGCAGCCGGGCAGAGCGTGGGAGGAGGGTGCTGGTCCCACTTAGGAAACACAGAACAATGAAAGAGGAACAATGGAGCTTCCTTCCTGTCACCCCAAATACCAAACGCCACCAGAACGTGGCACCGCTCCGAGCAGCGCTGCCGGGGCCGCTCCTGCGTCCCCTGGCCCGGGGAGGAACTGCAGACACCTCCTCCTCCTCTTCCTCGCCCTGGCAAGGGATGCTGCGGGAGGGCGGGTGCCAAGGAGCATCGCCAAAGGGCTGCCCTGACCCGGCGCTGCTGCCAGAGGCATTCCCAGCTTTGGAAACCGCGTTCGGGCCAGGGCAGGGGGGTTGCAGCGCGGCCGTGCCTTGGGAGAGGATTCTGTGAGATGCCCGGGCTTCCAGGGCGGCCAAACACGTGTCCCAGCCAGCCCAGGGGCCCGGAAGGGGTTATAAAAGCATCCAGTTACCAAAATTTGCCGGACCCTTATCAGGCAGAGACCACGTTCTCATGGGTTTGGTACCCGGGTGGTGCCAAGCACAGGGAGATGCTGGGCCAGGTCAGATAGAGCTGGGAATCCTGTGAGGGATGGATCCATCCCTGGCTGGCACCCACACCCCGTTCCTGGCTGTGGTGGGTGCCAGAGCCCCCTGAGGGGGGCTGGGGTTGGTGCCAGCCCGTCCCCCTGGCACTGCCCACGCCTTGGCTGCTCGGGGCCACCGGCACCGTGCCAGCCCTGCCAACAAACCCCATCCCCACTGCACGAGCCCTGGTGGGTGAACCATCCTCTGCAGAGCCCCAGCGAGCGCCCGGCACCCCGGCCAAGCACATCTGGCTGAAAGCTGTGGGAATTGCCCCGGCACTGAGGACACCGGCCCGGAAACGCTTCCCTCCCGGAGAGATCCTCCTGCCCCATCCCGGATCCTCTCCTGGCACCAGCCCTGCCCCTTCAGTGGGTACTGGGCCCTGGGGTCTGCAAAGGGGTGGTGCCCAGGGCTGTCACCTGCCCCAGTTTGGGTGCCAGGAGCAGGGCTGGGAGCTTTGCTTGCCAGCGGTGAGGGGAGAAGGGATCACCTTGCTCTGTGCTGGCACAAGGGCAGGATGAGGGTGCTGTGGGCACGAGGCAGTGGGGAGCATGGCTGGGTTTGGCAGCAGGTTGTCCAGCACTGGCCAGGTTGTCTCCACGCTGGGGACATGAACTGGTTTAAACCCTCACGCTGGACCCCAGTCACACTCAGGGCTTCAGCTCCTGCCAGTGCACTCCAAGGGGACACCAGCCAGCGTCCCACTTTCCTGCTGGAGGGAACAGTGCTGGAGGAGGGCAAGGGCTGAAAAAGCTCCTTCCACCTCTGAAGGCACTGTGGCAACTAAAGCTCCTGCATCCTGTTGTTTTGGGGGCCGGGGATGGGGTTGGGTTGCGGCGCTGTGGCCGGGACTGGGGGTGTGGGTGATGCAGGGTCTGTCTGCTGCCCTCTCAGGGTGCTCGGGCTGACGAGGGCACACTGGGGGCACACGGGGGCTGGGCACAGTGGGGGGCTCACCCCAGGCACGGGGGTCCTGCAGCATCACTCCCCAGCACCACTCCCACCCCGTGTCACCCCCCTCAATTTGTTGCTGTTGTCATCTCCAATATCGCGCAGGGAAGTGAGAGGCTGGAAGTCGCCTCTTTTCCTGCCAGGTTAAATCGCTCTCCAGGAATGTCTATTATTCCCACAAGTCAACTTTCCCCTCTGTGGTATGTGTCAGGGGTCAGGGCTGGCACCACATGAAAGCCACGGGTATTCAATAACCGAGAGCCGTGGAAAGGCTTCGGTCCAAGCCCAGCCACGTTGGGGTTTATTGATGCAGATGCCTTTCCCCATTTGTTTCCTATAAACAGCACATGGTAATATTTAGTAGGTTTCAAACAGAGCTTTTTGCATATTCTCCCTTGTCTGCAGCGAGCTGCTCGGTAGTAGACAGTTTTAATTTACTTAATGCTATTTCTGCTTTTTCTTCTTCCAGAAGGTCTGGGCTGGTTTTGACCCAGTCGCCCCAGCAAATTACTGTAATTCCCAGGGGGCTGGGAGCAAGAGTCCGGGATCCATTCCCAAGGACACGGGACCTCACTCCCCCCAGACCCTCTGGGGGACAGTCTCAGGAGCTGGGTGGGTTTGGGGGCTCTTTGGGGCCATCCTGGCTGGCCAGGCCTGGCTCCTGCTGCTGGCAGGGCCGGCGGCACGTGACACTCACCAGCTCCAGCCAGAGGGGAAAAGCCACTTCATTGCAAAAGCTGCCACCTCCCCGTCCTCGGGGGTGGCAGATATCGGGGCACAGCCCCGGGTGCTCAGTGCAGAGGCTGCAGGGTGACCCTGGAGTGGGGGATGGCCACCAGCACAGGGCAGAGGTGCCCACTGGCACAGAGCAGGGCTCCTGGGGAGCCTTACACAAGCCAGGGAGGCACAAACTCCATCTCCTGGAGAGCAGCCGTCGCTGTCCCTTGTCCCCACGCTCCCGGCAGCAGCAGCTCGTGGCCGATGCCAGCCATGGAGCAGCACTGAGCTGGCACTGGGGCGAGGAGGGGGGGGGGGAAGACGCCTCCAGAGGTGATTTTTGGCCACTGGGAATGGCCACAAACAGCTTTGCAGCCACTGAGCACACAGGAGCATTCACAGGGCAGAGAAAGGCCAGTCCCCAAGGCAGCCACGCCGAGCGTCTGCTGCCCCCAGTGCCGCAGCCCTCCGTGTGCAGAATCCCGGGCAGGTTCCTCCAGGCAGCAGCTCCCAGGAGCGCCAGCAGCCAGGAATTCTTGCTGTGGTGCTGCTGTTGCCCTGCCAGCCCCGGGCAGCCCATCACCACTGTCACTTTGCCAGCCCTGGCTGCCGCTCCACGCCAGCACCCGCCACCAGAACAAAGGCAAGAGGAGGCCAAAGGGTTGACACCGGGATTCTTTTAATGCAATTGCTTCTAAAATGCAGCTTTAAAGAGATGTGGAATGGTCAAAACAATGAGAAACAAGGGATGGTTTTGAGCTCTGCAACGTGACTGTGCAGCACCTCTGACCCCAACACCCACCAGCCACCACTGCACCTCAGTGTTGTTCTCTGGCTGCTCTTACAGTGACTCACTGGCCCTTCACATCTCACGGGGCATCCAAAGGGACTCATTTGGGCCAAACAGGGACAGGGTGACTCATTCAGTGCCAGATGACCCAACATTCATCCAGAGAACCCAAACAAGAGCAGCACAAGCAGCAGGTCACTCCCTCTCACCTCACACTCAGGCATCAACCCACACAGGCACTGGAGCTCCCCGTGACCCCTGTGGGGCTGTGCCTTCATGCTACGTGAAGTGATTTGGGAACCCAATGTCTGACTGTGTTTTCTGACTCTGGGTGGCAGAGGAAGCTGATTTTCCAGTATCTTGCTTTTTGTTATCTAACACTACTTTGTGTATTTTACAGAGCAGCAGGTGCCACAGGTCGCCAGCCACGGAACGTGGGAAATTCTGCTGTAGCCTGAACACGTGAGAGAACAAACCCCAGCACCACCTCCACACCATGCAGTTTACACACCCCAACTGCAGAAGAGAGTCTGAAATGCCTTTAACGCCTCCCAGGCCTGAGCCTGAGTTTGGTTCCCACTGAGGATCACCAATGCCATCTTGCCTTTCTCCACGTAAAGTATTTCCTGCTGCTCCACTGCAGTTTAACATCCTCCCTTCCCGAGAGGGGAGTGCTGAGGTTGCTGGGGAAGGGACACTGGAAAGGTCACAGGACTCCCAAATCTGCCATCCTGTGTGGTGCCACACAACCCAGTGCCAGCACTGCAGCAGCTCTCCCGAGCCAGCCCTTTGGATCAAGCCTGCATGTACCAGTCACCCCAGAATCAAGTGCAGGAAGCCAGTTTGGTCTACAGAAATACTACACACTCATCTCCCAGTGGATTTTAAACACCTCATTTAAGGAAGGACAGGGTTTAGCAGGGAATTTGTGGGCTCCCATCGCTTGGTCTCCAATTCTGGACATCCAGCACCGAACCAGACTGGAGCTCTCCTGGAGTCTGAGCAGTTGTTCTCACCCAGCCCAGGTCACAACTGGAAACTGAGGATAGGAAGCCTCTGGGGAGTAGGAAAAAGCACATCAGCTGATGAAAAAGCTTTAGAATGAACCTGGGAAATAAACACCAACCAGAAAATCATCTTCTACAGAGGATGGAAGTGACAGCAGAAGAAGAAAATGACATCTGAAACAGTCAGTGAGTCAGTCTGAGTGTGCAGGAGATCCCTGTGGGCCTGTGAGGAAAGCTAATGGCCAAGCCCAGCTGGTCCCTCCAGTCCCCAGGGAGGTGGGGCTGTGGTTCACTCTTCCCCAGCTGGAAGGTTGTCTTCAATCCTCCTGATGAACTTCATCCTTATTTCTGTGACACTGTCGCCCTTCAGCGTGTCCTGCACGAACTTCACATCCACAGCCATCTGCACCTGGGGGAGGGGAGAGGAGAGGGGAGCTGGGATCTGCCTTTGCACAGCAGCTTCTCCAGGCACTGAATGATCCTGGAGCACCAGCTTAAGGACTCTGAGGGCATGGCACGACATGCAGGGCTCTACAGACTCCCAAATTTGAGACACAGCTGTTCTGTTGTCCCAGCCAGTTCCCTGGGAATGCACTTCAAGGCCAAAGCAAAACCAGAAGTCATGAACAGGGACTAGAATCAAAGCATCTGCTGACACCTGGCTCTCCACACCCCCATCCCATGGGAAGAGAGACATGGCTCACCATCTCCAGGGCGCCCCGCAGCACTCCACAGAGCAGGTTGGAGTAGATGAGGGTTGAGTGGTTGTCAGGGAGCTCCACAAAGTCCACCAAGGGATTGTTTTCCAGGATCAGGGAGAACTCGTCACCCCCAGGGCTCCAGTTGGTGATGCTGGGAGTGATGCCCAGGTACATCTTAAATGCAATCTGTTGTGTCAAACAGAGGAGGAACAAGGACACGTGAGGAGGACACAGGGAATTCCACCTTGTCTTGTTCCTTGATTAGGAAGAAATTCCTCCCTCTGAGGGTGGGGTGGCCCTGGCACAGGTTGCCCGGAGAAGCCGTGGCTGCTCCATCCCTGGAAGTGTCCAAGGCACAGCCTTATCTCCGTAAAATTACTGAAGGGGTTTGCAAACACCTCTCCTTTCTCCCAGTTCCCACCAGCCAGCAGTAGTTGGGCTAAATCCCTCTTTTTCATCCCCAAAATCTCAGCCAGACTCTCAGAACAGTCCCATGGGCAGTAAATGTTCCATCCTCACATGCAAAACCCCCCCAGAACCCGAGAGGGCCGTGCTTGGACGTTCACCTTTGCAATAACATCAGCAGTCTCACGGAAATCGTGGCACCTCCCGACGTTGGAGCGGGCCAGGAAGTCCTCGATGAGCCGGACCCCGATGTTGTAACCCCTGGGAAGGGACCAGAGCAACAGCTTTAGGAAGGCAACAAATCTTTGTAAAAGAAGACGGCGGAGAAGCAAAATTGAATCTGAGAAAGGTCAGTGTTAAAATAACTTCAGCCTGCCGGGACTTTGCTCCCAGAGCAGCACACAGGGATGGGATCCCTGCTGTGATCCCTGCTGTGATCCCAGCTCCAGCAGATCCACCCCCACCCCTGGAGCCACTCACATCTTGTCCAGCTGCTTGTTGACGTCGTCGTCGTTCTCGTAGTCCTTGCAGAGCTGGGTGACCAGGGCGCCGTAGGTCAGCGTGAACAGCTCCGAGTTCTGCAGGGGAAAAGGGACTCACCCACGGAACCTGCCCCGGCTCCCACAGCACAGAGAGGGGACAGACACCTGCTGCATTCCCAAAGGAATATGGTGCTTAATCAGGAGGGATCCCAGCTCCAGTTCAGGCAACAACTTCAGTCTCCTCAGAACGGGGCTCTGAGCAACCTGGTCTAGTGGAAGATGTCCCTGCCTACGGAGGAGCTTTAAGGTCCCTTCCAACCCAAACCACGCTGGGATTCTGGGAAAGAGCCCAACAGCTCCTGGATGGCTCGAGGTGCCATGCCAGGGCCCTGAATTTACCTCAGCCACTGGCCTAGAGCTGAGATCTGGCTCAAGCCTGTGTTTCACCAACACGTTACAAACGGGCAGCGCTCAGCGGGCTCCAGCTCTGGTCCTTTCAACAGGCCAAAAATGCTCCTCCAGCCAGGGATTTATAACACTCTGTACCAAGAAACAAGACTCATCCGGTCCCTAGAAAGTTCTCTGGGCACAGAATTTGCTTCACAGATTAAAATCAGACCCAGCAGAGGCTCAGGGAGGGTGATCCCAGGCCAGCTCAGCACTCAAGTGCTGTGCACATCCAGGAACAAAGTCACTCAGGTTTTCTTTGCACAGTTGTCAGACTTGCAGAAAATTTGCAGAAAGGGGGAAAAGTTCTCCTCTCCCAGCCACCACCTTCGATCCTCACCCTGAAATGATGTCAAAGAGCATTTTTTTGGAGCCATCAAGCCAGACCAGTGCTTAACAAGGTCACTACAGTCTGCAGGACAAAACTCTGCAAAAGGAAGTGTTCTGGGGAACAAACGAACCCCCAGCACTGGTTTCTGCTGTCAGTTTTGGCATGCAGGGGGATCAGAGGGGCTGATCTGGGATCTGTCACCTACCATGAGCTGCAGAGAGGCAGAAGGTGAAATGAATGGCAAATACCAATACTAGAGAATGAAAGCAGCAGCAGGCAGGGAGGGAAAAGAGACAAGATCAGAGTTAAGTGACAACACAGACCACGACAAGTTCACACAAAGCCACAACAAACACACAGAGGAATCACCCCCAAACAAACAGAAACTGGGTTTGTAGAGGACACAGGGAATTCCACCTTGTCTTGTTCCTTGATTAGGAAGAAATTCCTCCCTGGGAGGGTGGGGAGGCCCTGGCACAGGTTGCCCAGAGAAGCTGTGGCTGCCCCATCCCTGGAAGTGTCCAAGGCCAGGTTGGACAGGGCTTGGACAACCTGGGATAGTGGGAGGTGTCCCTGTCCATGGCAAGGGGTGGAAGTAAATGGCTTTTACGGTCCCTTCCAACCCAAACCATTCCATGATTCTGGAATCGCCATTTCCGAGGAGCAACAACAACCAAAAGGCTTCAGGTGAGAAAAGAACCAGTCAGGCTCCTTGGAACTTTTGCCCCACTTTGGCTTTAAAGAACTGACACATTCTTTTGGGGTTTTTTGCTTAAAATTCTGCTTTTCTCTTCAAAAACTAGAGGTTGGGCAAGTTCACACCAGTGGAAGGACGAGGTGGAAGTTCCTTTGGCTCAGCTGGACTCAGACACTTGGCAGAGAATTTAACATTCATGCAGAACAGGTTGTGAGGGTGTCAGTGGTTTTAGTAAAGACAGAGGTGGAGGGGAGGGGGATGGAAGGGGGGAATCCAGCTGTCCCCAGCCCAGGGTCTGTCACTGAGTGAGGGGTCACCTGCTGTTGTCAGCCCCAGCACACCCAAACTGGGCACAGTCGTCGCCTGAGACGCTGCTGTTCACACAACTCCAAACAGGGCAAACCTCTAAATTTGTTTTTGTACAGAAATTCTTCATTTTCAGCCCATCTGACGGAATTAAAGTGCCCAAAGCTTTTCCCATTGTTTATTTCCTACTGCAGACCAGTCCACAGAGTGCACACTGTGTAAGTGTTCTGTGGCCACAAAAGTGTCAGAATTCCAACGAATTAACACCACTTCCGTAAATAATCGTTGTGTTTAAGGAGCTGAATCCCTGGAAGAGGATTCCCCCACGGCACGGAGGGGCAGCTCAGCCTGACCCAGCCCCTCCACACGGCCAGAGAGGGAGAAAAAAAAATAACCCAGATTTTATTTTTTTTATTACCGATTTTGCATTAAAAACTAATTGATTCGACCCCGAATTCGAGCCGAGCTCTGCAGCTTTGGGCTCCATCTCACAGTTCCTGGCTCAGCGGATAATGGGGTTGGAGAGGGGAAGCGTTCTGGGTGTGAAGGCCCCACGAACGGGCGCGCCCGGTGCCGGTGCCGGCTGATCGCTGCCGGGCCCCGCCGCACCGGGCGCTCACCCCCGCCCCGGGCCGCGCCCCGCGCTCGCCGCCCCGGCCCCGCCGGGCCCCGCCGTTACCATTTTCTTGCTCTCGGTGCCGCGCCCGCCCTGCCGCGACATCGTGTCCGCCCGGCCCGGCCCGGCCCGGCCCCGCGGCTCCGCTCCGAGCGCGGGGCACCGCGGGCCGCGCGGGGCGCGCCGGGACTCGTAGTTCGCGCCGCGCCGCCGCCCGCGCCCCACCCGCGGTTCGGGACTACAACACCCTGGGCGCACCGCGCGCCAGCCGCCACCGCCGCGAGAGCCGGCCAATCGCGGCGAGCGGGGAGGGTCAGCTGACCGCGCTGCTCCCGCCGCAAGGGGGCGTCCGCTCCCCGTCGAGGCCCCGCCGGGCCCGGTCGGTTCCGCCGCCCATCCCCGGCCCGCTCGGCCCGCTCCCCCCCGCCCCGGTACCCCCCCAGCACCGCTGACCTGCTTCCTCATCTCGCCCCCCCCCGGTCCCGCTCCCCCCGGTCCCGTCGGTCCCGGGCCCGTGCCCGCCGCAGGGGCCCTCCCGCGGATCCCCGGCCCCGGTGAGGGCGGTGCCGATCGGTGGCTCCTCACGGAACGGGCCGTGGGCAGAGCGAGGCTCTGTCCGTGGGGAAAGGGCCCCTCCTGGGCCTCGGGCCCCGCTCCCAGCCCGGTCGCACACTGCCCCCTTGGAATGGGAATGGAGTCGTGGAATGGCCTGAGCTGGAGGACCAGGACAACCCAATCCCGCTCCCATCCCTGCACAGACACCCCAAAAATCCCACCCTGTTCCTGGGAGCGTTGTCCAAACGCTCCCCGAGCTCTGGCAGGGTCGGAGCTGTGACCGCTGCCCTGTGGAGCTGTTCCAGCGCCTTCCCGGCTGGCTCGGGGCTCTGGCTGAGGCCGGACCCCGGGGAAAGGGCAGCGGGTGTCCCTGGGCTGCAGGAGCCCCGGGCTGCAGGAGCAGGAGCTGCTCGGGGCAGGTTCTCCTGCCCATGAGACACAAGCGGCTCCACAGGAACGGGGCAGGGGACCAGCCTGGCCTGGGGCTCCAGGAACTGCAGGGAATGCTTCCTGAAACAATTCCTGAAACAATCCAGCTCTCCCTGACCCTGCCCAGCCAGCACAGCCCCCGGAGCACGGAGCTCTGCTCCCAGACGGGGTCTGCCTGGCGTTATTTATTTATTTATTCATTCATTCATTGATTTATTTATTTATTTAACCCGCCTGTTGTTTATTTGTTCATTCCATTATGTCTCTCCTCCAGACCTGTCCCTGAGCGAGCGGCTCGGCTGGGGCTGGGTGCCGGGGGCAGGACGTGCTGCGGGCGCAGAGGGACCCCCCCAGCGCCGCCGGCTGCTCAGGAATCCGGCAGCTGGGAGCGGGCTGTGTGTCCCCGCCGGGCCGGGAGCGCGGGGACCGGCCGGGCTGCGGGGGCCCGCTGGCATTGCCTTACATGGCCGCGTCCCCGGGACACCGCGGGCTGCGCCGGCGGCGAGGCACCGGGCCTGGCACTGGGGCACGGCGGGGTCAGTCCGGGCTGGGGGGCTGCCAGCGGCACCTCCGTCGTGCCAGGGAGGTGATGGGATGTCTGTGCTCGCCGTCTCCACCCCTGCAGTGCCAGCTCCCCTCCTGCTACCAGTCCCCAGTGCCACCTCGTGCTCTCCGCCACGGTGGCTCTGGTGCGCTGGAGACTGTGGAATCATGGAATGTCCTGAGTGTGAAGAGACCCACAAGGACCATCCAATCCAACCCCTGGCCCTGCGCAGATACCCCAACAATCCCACCCTGTCCATGAGAGCATTGTCCAAACCCTCCTGGAGCTCTGGCAGAGTTGGTGCTGTGCCCACTGCCCTGGGGAGCCTGGTCAGTGCCCAACCACCCTCTGGGGGAAGAACCTTTCCCTGATACCCAGCCTAAGAAGACACCGTGTCCCTGGTCACCGCAGGAGTCCGTGGCAGTGCCCCGCCGAGCTGAGCTGGGCGGCACGTGGGGCACACAGGGCATCCCTGCTGGCACCTCGCTCCTTGGATCTCCCGTGTGCCCGGTGGGGACCCTTCCCAGGTGGGGCAGCTCCCGCTGCAGCCGGGGGGGCACCGGGAGCCGGGCTGGCGGCTGCGCGGGGCTCGGGGGTCGCCGCCCCCAAACACAGACCCTGGCACATCCGGCTGATCGGTCCGGGGAGCGGCCGGGACCCGACAGAGCCCCAGGACCCCCGTCCCGTCCCGCCCCGTCGCGCTCCGCCCCGAGCGGGGGCGCAGGACCGGCTCCGCCACACTCCGCTCCGCCTCGCTCAGCGCCGGGGCCGATCGTGCCGTGCGGGTCCCGGGGGTCTGGCCGAGCCGTGCGGGTCCCGGGGGTCTGGCCGAGCCATGCCGTGCGGGTCCCGGGGGCCGTGCCGGGCCGTGCCGTGCGGGACCAGCCCGGGAGCGGCGCTGGCGCTGCGGGTCCTGGTGCTGTGCGCGGCGCTGTGCGCGGGCCCGGTGCGGGCGCGGCCGCCTCCCTTCCCCTTCTGGGACCCCTCGCTGCCCTGGCACCGCCGCCTCGACGACCTGCTGGGCCGGCTGAGCCCCGCCGAGCTGGTGCTGCAGGTGAGGGGGCGGCGGGACCCCCCCGGGGACCCCCGCGGGACCCCCCGCTCAGCGCCGCTGCCCCGCAGGTGGCGAGGGGGGGAGCGATGCGCAACGGCCCCGCGCCCCCCATCCCGCGGTTGGGCATCGCGCCCTACAACTGGAACACGGAGTGTCTGCGGGGCGACGCCAAGGCGCCCGGGTGGGCCACGGCCTTCCCGCAGGCGCTGGGGCTCGCTGCCACCTTCAGGTACCGGCACCGGGGACGGGGCACCCGGGGGTGCGGGACGTGACCTTGTGAGACAGGTCCCCTCTTGTCCACGCTCCCTGACACCCCCCTGCCGTCCCCACAGCCCTGAGCTCATCTACCGGGTGGCCAACGCCACGGCCACCGAGGTGAGAGCCAAGCACAACGACTTCGCCGCCACCGGCCGCTACGGGGACCACACCGGGCTCAGCTGCTTCAGCCCCGTCCTGAACATCATGAGGCACCCGCTGTGGGGCAGGAACCAGGTGCCAGCGTGGGGGGGGTGGCCCCTGGCCAGGATCAGGCCACACGGGACCGTGGCCAAGCAGCTGGACGTGGCAGTGGGGACGTGGGGCTGGGGGTCTCGGTGATGACCCGCCTGCACCTCGGCCAGGAGACCTACGGGGAGGACCCGTTCCTGAGCGGGGAGCTGGGCCGCAGCTTCGTGCAGGGGCTGCAGGGCCAGCACCCCCGCTACATCAAGGCCAGCGCCGGCTGCAAACACTTCAGCGTGCACGGGGGCCCTGAGAACATCCCCCAATCCAGGCTCAGCTTTGACGCCAAGGCAAGTGCGGCGGGGCCGAGGGTGGCAGGAGGGCGGGTGACACTCCGGGTGCTGACCCTGCTCTGCTGCGGCACTCACAGGTGCTGGAGCGGGACTGGCGCATGACCTTCCTGCCCCAGTTCCAGGCGTGTGTCCGTGCTGGCTCCTACAGCTTCATGTGCAGCTACAACAGGTTGGGAGCGCGGCGGGGGCCACGTGGGCTGGGCTGCCCACGACGTGGTCAGTGCCTGGCTCTCCGGGCTGCCCCATCCCCTCTCCGACAGGATCAACGGCGTTCCCGCCTGTGCCAACAAGAAGCTGCTGACGGACATCCTGCGTGGCGAGTGGGGCTTCGAGGGGTACGTGGTGAGCGACGAGGGGGCCCTGGAGCTCATCATGCTGGGGCACCACTACACACACACCTTCCTGGAGACGGCAGTCGGTGAGTCACGGGCTGGGTGTGGGGTCCCCGGGCATCCCACGGCTGTGACGGGTGTTCTCCCTTCTCTCTGGCATGGCAGCCTCAGTCAACGCTGGCTGCAACCTGGAGCTCTCCTATGGCATGAGGAACAACATCTTCATGCACATCCCTCAGGCTCTGGCCATGGGCAACATCACTCTGCAGGTGAGCAGGGCTGGGGGTGTGGGCAGGGAGCCCAGGCTGCACCTGCCAAGCACGACCGAAGTTTTGGGGTTGGGGTCTCCGCAGACGCTGCGTGACCGAGTCCGGCCCCTCTTCTACACACGGATGCGACTGGGGGAGTTCGACCCCCCAGACATGAACCCCTACAGTGCCCTGGACCTGAGCGTGGTGCAGAGCCCTGAGCACCGCAACCTCTCGCTGGAAGCCGCTGTCAAGAGCTTTGTGCTGCTGAAGAACATCCGGGGGACGCTGCCCCTGCGGGCCCGGGACCTGCCTGGCCAGCGCCTCGCGGTGAGCCCCTGCACGGGGTGGGCAGGGGGACACGGTGACCCAGGGGCTGCTGCTGGCTCTGTACCCCGCTCACACAGGTGGCACAGGGCTGCCAGTGCCCACCGCCACCCCTCTGCCCTCCGCAGGTGGTGGGTCCCTTCGCCGACAACCCCAGGGTGCTGTTCGGGGACTACGCGCCGGTGCCAGAGCCTCAGTACATCCACACCCCCCGGTGAGACAGCGCGGTGCCGCCTCGTGTTCCCCTGTCCTGGGCACTGCCTGAGGCTGCTGCTGGGGCTGCTCCTCCCTTCGCTGGGGGCCAGGGCAAGGGGGGCATCCCCAGTGTGCCTCGAGCCCGGGGCAGAGCAGCCCCCGTGCCCTCTGCTCTTCCCTGGCACAGGAGGGGGCTGGAGACACTGGGGGCCAACGTCAGCTTCGCGGCGGGCTGCGGCGAGCCCCGGTGCCGGCGCTACTCCCGGGCACAGGTGGTGGGGGCAGTGAGGGCGGCCGACGTGGTCGTGGTCTGCCTGGGCACAGGTAGGTGGGAGCACCGGGTGGGCACTGCCAGGGGATGGGGAGCGCTCTGGGAGAGAAGGGGTGCCCCTCTGAGGCGGGCAGTGTCCCTCTGCCCTGCCTGCCTGCAGTGCCCCGGGTGGGTGTGAGGGGCTGTCCCTTGGCTGTCCCCACGCAGGGGTGGATGTGGAGACAGAGGCGAAGGACCGGAGCGACCTGTCCCTGCCGGGCTACCAGCTGGAGCTGCTGCAGGACGCCGTGCAGGCAGGTAGGGGCTCTGTGGGGCCCAGCGAGTGGGGCCACAGCCCTCCCGGGTGTTGCCCATCTACGGGACACCCCGGAGCTGTCCCAGCAGTGCCACTGCAGGGCTCTCAGTGACAGCCACCTCCCCGCAGCCGCCGGGCGCCCCGTCATCCTGCTGCTGTTCAACGCGGGGCCCCTGGACGTGGGCTGGGCGCAGGCACACGACGGGGTGGGGGCCATCCTGGCCTGCTTCTTCCCTGCCCAGGCCACCGGCCTGGCCATCACCAGGGTCCTGCTGGGCGAGGCGGGGGCCAGCCCAGCCGGGCGGCTGCCGGCCACGTGGCCCGCGGGCATGCACCAGGTAAGGTGGGGGTGCTGGTGGCACCTGTAGCCCTTTCCTGCCTCGGCGGCCAGAGCAGTGGTGGGACGCAGGGCTGGTGCTTGCCCATGGCCACCCAGCCCCGCCCTGCTCCACTGCCCTGTGTCCTTCAGGTGCCGCCGATGGAGAACTACACCATGGAGGGACGGACGTACCGGTACTACGGGCAGGAGGCCCCGCTCTACCCCTTCGGGTACGGGCTCTCCTACACCACCTTCCACTATCGGGACCTGGTGCTGAGCCCCCCGGTGCTGCCCATCTGTGCCAACCTCACCGTGTCTGTGGTGCTGGAGAACACGGGGCCGCGCGACAGTGAGGAGGTGGGCACGGCCGCTCTGTGCCGAGCTGGCTGTACGGGCACGGACGTGCCCTGGCTGTCCCCTGCCAGGGGGCTGCCGAGGGGGTCCCTGTGGCGCTGACTCCCGTCCCTCCGGGCAGGTGGTGCAGCTGTACCTGCGCTGGGAGCAGTCGTCCGTGCCGGTGCCGCGCTGGCAGCTGGTGGCTTTCCGGCGCGTGGCCGTGCCGGCCGGCCGGGAGACCAAGCTGTCCTTCCAGGTGCTGGCCGAGCAGCGCGCGGTGTGGGCGCGGGACTGGCTCCTGGAGCCCGGCGCCTTCACCCTCTTTGCCGGGGGGCAGCAGCCGGGCCAGCGGACGCGGGCGCCCTCGGAGGTGCTGAGCGCGCGGTTCGGCGTCACCGGCACGGCACGGCCCCTGAGCGGGTGCTGACAGTGAGGTGGCAGCGGGGTGGTGGCCGAGGGAAGGGGTGCGAGGTGTGCCACGGGGAGCTCGGGGGTTGTCTGCCCCGCAATAAAGTGCTGGTGCTCCGCGGCGGCTTCGTGGGGCCTCCTCCCCTCTGTCCCCCTGGCGCAGTGCTGGGATCCTCCTGCAGCAGGACCACAGTGCCCTTTTTCTCTGCCTGGTGCTTTCTCCCTCCTCCCATCCCTGTCCCACCCCCTGCCCCCCACACCCTGCCCATGCCCCACACAGGCCGCTGGGCAGCGTGTGCCGTGGCCGCACATGCCTGTGCCTCCCGCTCTATTTATAGCTGCCGGGCTGCTCCAGCGCATTCCCTGTGCAGAGGGAGCGGGTCACTGGCAGCCCTGGGAGGCTCGGGAGGGCAGGGCCTGGCCTCTCTCTTGTGCAGGCAGGATCTGTCCCTGGCAGGGTACAGCCAGGGCAGAGGTGCAGCAGTGGGAGCGACCAAGCCCTGTGCTGGTCAGAGGGACAGATCCAGCCCTACAGCAGCTCAGGGGCTGTGAGACAGGGCCGGGATAGGATTCCTGAGGCAGTGCTGGCAGGGAGCCGGAGCCAGGCAGGAACTCCTCCGGATGGTGTTGGAGGACTCTGATCTCCTTCAGCCCCGGGGCCGGAGGCCAAGGTGGGGGTGGAAGGGAGCGCGTGGGGCTGCCCAGGCCTGACCCCATGACATCAGGACACTAATTACAGATGCGGCTTGGGATAATTAGAGAGCGGGCTCGGGCTGCGGCAGGGCAGGGCAGGGCTCAGCCCATCGCTGGCCCATTTGTCACTGGCACCCACGGGGGACTGTCCTGCAGCAGCCGGGATTTGCCACCAGCCACAGTGTGGCCCCACGGCAAGATGCCGGGGGGCTGGTGGCTGCCCTGGCACACCCATCCACCCTGGGACAGGACACAGGGACAGACACACACCCCTGGGGTCCTGCTGGGTCACTGCCCCAGGGCTGGTGGGGGTCAGCTGGAGTGTTTTGGGGGCAGGGGTTCAGATCAGCCCTCGTGGCCACAGTGCCACAGAGCAGCAGGGTGGGAGCAGCCTGGGGCCGGGGCAAAGTCCTGGGGCTGAGGAGAGAGGTGGGGGCAGAGGGGTGGGGAGCGGGTGGGATGGGGTGTCCCACGCGGTACTTTGCCCAGAGGTGCTGGTGGGGTTTGTTTGCCATCCTCATCCCTGTTTGCTCCCAGCTTCCCAGCTCACGCCAGCAGGGCCGGGCTGAGCCTGTAGTTGTCCTTTGACTTTGGGGTGCTCAGCCTGGTGCGTCCCCACAAGCAGCATCAGGGCCAGGTGCTGGGCATGCTGAGGAGGCCAGAACCACGGCTGGAGCCCAGCCCACGGGGTGCAGCCCCCTCCCCACGCTGGCCCGAGGGAGCCATGGCAGTGCTGCACCCCAGGCCACGGGGTGAGGAGCACGGGGAGCGCCGGGACGTGCAGCTGCTGGGGCTGGGCACCGTGCTCATCATGAGCTCATTGGATTTTCCATCAGCACAGGGAGGGCGGCTGTTCCCAGCACCAGAGGACTGGGGGGGCTGGACCCAGGAACCCCGACCCAGCAGGGCTCTGCCTGCAGGGAGCAGTTGGTCGATGCCCTGCTTGTATAAGCCCATTGACTTGGGCTGGTGTGGCGGCCACGAGTCCTCTGTGCTTCTGCCCACACTGGGAACGCTGTCAGAGCATGGCCACAGGCCCTGCACGCTCATGGTTGCCCCTTCCCCACTGTGCCCCCTGCTCCAGGCTGGCCCTGCCGTGGGGATCAGGACCACAGGCTTGGCTGGACCCAGTGCCAGGCTGTCCTGGAGTCTCAGGATGTTTGTCCACTCTGGGCGATGCTGTGGGACCCACAGGGACGTGGCTCTACCAGGGAAAGGGGCTTTGGAAGCCACCTAAGGGCACCCTTGGTACAGGTCATGGGGTGGCCCCAGCCCTGCTCTGCCAGGTCCTTTGTGTGCCATGGAAATAAGGGACCGTGGGGCTCCTGCAGCCCCTTGGAGGCTCGGCCACAGAGCTGCGAGAGTGGGGCTGTCCCCCTTCCCCATCCTGGGGTGTCCCCTGGGTTTGTGGGTTCACTGGGACACTGCACCCCTGTTCCCTGCCATCCCCCTGGGGTGCCCAGCTCCCAGAGCCAGGGCTTGGCCAGCAGCATTCCCCAGCAGGGAGTCAGCCAGCGGGTGAGGCTCTGGGAGTTTCAGGAAGCCTCTGCTCTGGCTGAGCTGGGTGAGAGGGCACAGCACTGGGGGCTGTGGGAAGGTGAGAAGACTTTGGGGTGATTCGGGGTATAGAGTCACCCCTGCAGCATCACAGAGTGGGGCTACCCTGTCTGCTGAGGAGCTCCCCGTTTCTGAGTCAGGGGAATACTCCTCCAGAAGAAAGGGCTGGGATTTTGGGAAACCTGTTTGCCTGGTAGGTGAGGGAGGATGAGTGGCAGGGGATCTCCTGGCCTGTGGTGACATCATCCCCAAAACAGGCATCTCCGATGGGTGCTGCCTGCAGGAAACTGGCTCTGTTGATCCACACATCCCGGCGAACCCGGGCACTGTGCAGGATCCCAGAGCACACTGGCCACGTGGTGGACAAGGACGCGTCCCTGGCTCCTGCTGCCCCTTCAGAGCCTGAAGCTGCATTCCTCCTACTGCTGGTGCTGCCCACATCCCCCTTTGCCCTGGCCGTGCCTCTGCCTGGGCAGGGACGGGGCAGCGTTCCCGGCCCATCCCCGCTCCTTGCGGGCCAGGAGGGGTTTCACCCCTGAGTGGGGCTGAGCCGAGGCCGCTGCTCCTGCCCGGGGGGCGGGAGAGGCCTCTGTTCTCTGCCGGTTCCCGGGGCAGGGGGGGATGCGGGGGGCAGCCCCGGGAGTGGGGGCAGCTGCTGTCGGTGACTAAGGCTCACGTGTGACGGGGAGGGGGAGCAGCAGCTCCAAGGCCTCTCGAGCAGCTGAGGTGGGGCTCGGGAACGGGAAATCGGTGTCCTTTTGGGGTGCCCGGGGCTGGGGCAGCAGGTCCCGTTGGCGCTGGCCGTGCATCGCGGGGCTGCCCGGGGCGGGCGGTGGCTGCTGCGGGGCCAGCGCTTCGCGGGTGACCGAAGCATCGTAAAAATGTGCGTGCGAGCCCCAAAATCTGGGGGAGGCGGGGCTGGAGACGGGCGAGTTGCCGAGCAAGAGCTGGGGGATGCTGTGCACCGCGGAGACCGGCGGCGGGGCAGGCCCGAGGCCGCGGTGACGGGCGCGGGGTCCCAGCCCCGGCTGCGGGAGGAGCGGCGCCGGGTCGGGGCTGCGGGGCCGCGCCTGGAGCCGGGGCGAGGCGGAGCATCCCCCGGCCGCTCCCCCCGGCCGGGGCCGCGGGGC